GTCAGCAGTCCACCTCCACCTGAAGGACAAAGGACATTCTTTTGAGGACAGTGAAGTCCAGATCCTCTCCAGAGAACATCGCTGGTTTGAGAGAGGAGTTAAGGAAGATATTTTTGTAAGAATAGAACCCCCATCACTAAATAAGGGTGGTGGACTAAGACACAACTTGTCTTCCATCTACAACCCGGTTTTGAGATCTCTGCCCAAACATACCCACCAGGACAATAGGCATCGGTCGACAGGGGAGGATTCAAAGACAGGTAACGACTCTCACCGATACTGGGCTATAACGAATCAGTCGTTAGGGGAGATTGTTGGCCTTCAAAGGACTGAAACACCACTGAGGGGGATAAATATCTCTGGCTCAACACCAGTCAGTCAGAACTGATGAAGCCTCTTGGATGAGAGGTGAAACGCCTTTGACCTAGAAATCTAGTCCAGTTGATTTTTTCTAAGTTTTTTCAGCTTGTGATTTACATGTTGAAGGATGCTGTAGAGAAAGAGGAAACAAACAAATATCACTCCACAGCTGTCAGTGCGTGTCTGCTGGTGTTTACAGGTTTGGTGGGAACTCCACACCGTTCTGTATTTAATGTACATGGTTTCAAGATGAACTGTTTACATTCAGTGTATGTAAGGAAATGAATAGTGTGTGTGTGTGCGCACCAGGGGAGGCTCTCTTCAACTTGTTTATAGACACACATGCTTATATGGTCCGACATACACATCGAAACACATTTTTAGCAGCACTATCTCCTGCTCTCTCTCTCTCACACACACACACTCATACACATATAACGGTTTCCATTCACATAATTTCTTCCCATTTCTACCACACGCACGCACACACAAAACGTCTGACTGGCCTGCTTAAGCTCCTCATCCTTGTAGGGCTCAGTGAGAGGCTAAGGGGATTTAGATTGTACAAGACTGACAGATTGAGAATGACTCCCTCCCTCACTGTCTCCCTCTCTTTCTCAATCCCTCAGCCTTTCTAGGGCTACTGTAAAGCCTGAACTTCAACTGTAACATGTGAACAGTAGGAGCAAGAGATGAAGAGAGAGGAAGGAACAGCAGGGAGATGATCAAAGATAGGAAAGATGAGAATGATGGAGGGAATGAAGGAGGAGAAAATGAAAGACTAAATTAATGTGTGTGCACTATACATCAAAGTGAGTGTGCTTGTGTGTGTGTGTTTGCACTGCACACAAAATGATTTACAGGTGTATGTCCAGCATTTGTATAAATCTTTTCCCATGTGGCAAGTTAACTAGCCTTTGATTTTTCTGCATCAGTTAAGCTACTCAACAGGTGGCATGCCCAAGGGTGTGAGTTTGTTCATGGATGTACTGTATATATGTGCAAAGTACACGTTATCTTTATTGTTACATTTAAATTTAAGCTCAACAAACCCATAAGTTAAAACTGAAATACATGATCTCTGTCCTTGTATTTTTACTGTTGTATCTTTTTGACCTTCTGTCTCTCTGTTTTCTTTCTTTATTTCTTTCTCTCTGCCTCTCAAATGTGTTAGTGGTGGTATAGTTCATGGCAGTCATCCAAACCTCTCTTTATTTTTTTCCTCTGTGCAAATTAACTCCTGGAGGAATTCAAGGCTTGGGCCTCTTTTCACATGCATATATACGCTGCCTCAAGCTTTAATCTAATTTACTGTTGCTGAATCACATGTAAAATCTTTCTGTCACTGTCCTTACTATGAGATATTAAAGAACTTTCATTGTTGGTGACTATCTTTCTCTCTCGGTAGACTCAAAACCGGATGAAGCTGATGGCAGAAAACTATGAGGACGACCACCTCAAGCTCTCGTCGCCAAACTCAGAGCAGCCCAACAATCACAAGCCCTCCCCAGACCAGGTAAGACCTCTGCCTGGGAGGGGGAGCCTTCACCTGAGACACACCTCTAAATTTACAAATCACGACTTCCACATCAAGCTAATAGCATTGGTCTTATGTGGATGAAAGCATGCTGTAAAATAAAATTTCTAGACCTACCCACTTCTATATTAACAACTCCATGTGCAAGTGAAATACAACCATATTCCTTCTAGCCATTTCTCTCTGTGGGTGTAACATTTACATTTACTTTGTTTTTTTTGTTTGTTTGTTTTTTTTTTTTTTTTGCTAATCATTTATTTTAGTTTTAGCTCTTGTCAACTAATATTTTAAAAATTTAGTTTTCAACTGTTTCAGTGTCACTTATTGTATCTTTGTACAATTTCCTGTGCCATTACACTAACTTCCTGCTTTCTCTGAACTCGCACTGCGGTTGGACTGAACTAACCGATAGGACGATGAGGAGGGTATTTGGGCCTAGCCAATCACATGCCTTCTTTTCCCCCCTCGGTTCACCATTTTGTACAGAAGGGTGAGCGTCTTCTTTATCTGGATTTGATCATGTTTGGATGTCCTCATTGTGTCATTCGTCTTCCATCTTTCTGACATTTGTTTCATCTGTGAGGTGCTGATCTGGTTCTGGTTCTGGTTCTCATCTTTTGTTTTTTTTTCATAGCAGTTTTTCATTTACTCAGTTTTCCCCCAGTTCTTTTTAATACCTACAGTCTTGAAGCTCTCCTTCTTCTCAGTATTGTGAATTTTCTCCTTTGCCAAGAACTAAATTTCAGTGAGTGTGGGTGGCTGCAAGTGATTGTTACCCCCTTTTTTTAGATATGTAAAAACTGAAATATGGTAAATGGTAAAAACTGAAATAAGCTCTGATCATTACCTAACCCAGAATGCTTCTTACATCCTTTGGGTTTATTTTCATTTTCTGATATTTTTGTGGTCTTTATTGTACAAACTGTTCTTCCTGTCCTTCTTTTTTACTTCATTTTTACCCTTTAGCTTTGGCAAACCCTCCTATTATTTCTCTTCATCCAAGCACTTTTTTCTGTCTCTGTCATATTTGCTTATGATCCTTTTGTCTATCTGTATTCTTTTCTTATTGGATGCTTTATGTGTCAGTCATTATGCTTTATCTCCTTTCATGACCCTATTATTTCCCAGTTGAACCTACTCTGTGTGTGTCATGCATTGGTTGTTTTAAGAAGGCTTCTCCTTTGCCAAATTGTCAACTAAAAAGTAAACATTTTTCAAGAATTGTAAAAACAAAGTTTTTATCCTTAATTTTTTTCTGTACAATAGGGGTTTCTAGTATTTTAAGGCTCCAAAGTCATTAATCGCACCTGCGTGATAACCTTCAAGTCAAGCAAAAACAAAAACACTGCAGCAAAATCTCTTTTAATATATCTAATGTATTTTCTTGTCTTAAGACAAGAAATGTCTCTTTTTTGCTTTTCATTCTTGTGGATTTTTAATATTTTTAATATAGTATCTTGAGACTATTTGATTGATCTGATGTGGCTTTAACTTTTGAATGAATATAATGACCATAAGTGATGTGAGTACATTACATTATTTAATGGGTTTGATTTATTGACAGGGCTGTGGAGGCAGCACCACATATGAGTAGCACATGTTACATTTCAGGCAGCTTTCTTCCTCCGGTGGGTTTTCTCACTGGGACATTAAAGGCCCAAAGTTTCACCAGTGGGTCTAAGTTTGACCCTGGTATTTAATTAGTGGTAGCGCCTCCTTGCTGAGAGAGGCACGCCAGCCAGCATGCATACACACACATGTATAGGTGTACTTTGTCCTTGCCATGTGCGGTGGGTAATTCACCATGGCACATTACATCTAAACAGAGAATGACTGTGTCTTGTTCTATAAGGGAGAATGAAATGCCTGCTGTAGAGAAACACAGGAGATCAGTCTGCACACATTCACAGCATCGCTGAGGAAATTTTTATTGTGTTTTGCATTTTTAATGGCCTTCAGTGGTATTAGCTGCATCAGCTAAAAAAGACAGGGAATAGATATAATTCACTGTTTTGGTTTGTGAGGTTTTTCAATATATTAAGATGACTTGACATTAATGAGTGTGCAGAGCTCTTACCTGTTAAATTATTGACCTTTTTATTACAAATACGGTTATTTATTCATAAATTCTTTGCCAGTATACAAAGAGACTGGAAGCATTTTCAGTCTCATATGACAAATATGTAGTGCAACACAGTGTTCATATAATCACTGATGATAAGAATACAGCAAATACTCATCTACTACTCATACTGTATGTGCTGTATGAAAGTGCCTCCAACTCTCTGACATACAGTTCTTTTTGTTCCCTGATTGTTTTAATTATATTTATTTTTTACCTTCATTTAACCTAGGTGGTTTTACTAAATGCATGCAATTCAGTTAAGAACAACTCTGCCCAGGGTAATGAAGGAGGGCCAAGCTTTGTAGGTGTGGGTTTGTATTCAGAGATTTTCACTTAACCAAGTGTTGATTAGTGTTGTCACATCTGCAGCCATCATTCCACACTGTTGAAATCCTGCCTCTTCGGTAGATGCCGTTCCTAGTTCAACAGATGTATTTCTGCTTGTGTCTCAGACGGATCTATGGAGAAAGGAAAATCCTAATTTCACCATATAATGTCGCCATAGAAAGTTTTCTTTTTAATGCAGCCAGTCAGTGAGGCTGGCTGAATGTGTCTCTTTGGAGTTGTTTCATAGTATAGTAAGAGAAATGCAGGCTAATAAAGCGGGACAAACACACACACTCTGACACACAGTACAGTATAAATTTATGTCTCCTCAGGGACTGATTCCTTCTGAGTTAGACACGCACTGTGGACTCAGTAAACACACACTGCATACGCTGACCATTGAAAGTTGTGTAATACAATAAAAACATACTGTAATAAAATTAGTAAATTCAGTGTTTTTTATATTTCACATTATTATTAATAGATTTTATCTTACTTTAATATATTTTTTCTGCAAGTGATTAAATAATTATTGAAAAAGAAAAGACAGCACTGTTGTTACTGTTAATCTCCAAATCACACCACGATTCCTTCCATTCAATCTATCTGTTTCTCATTTGTCTTGTATTTGATCCACAAAGCTCCGCTGCAGGTCTGGAAAGTGTGGACAGTGATTTCTTTTTTTAAGCTTCTTGACAGAATAATGTAGAATACAAATTCTGAGAGAACAGATGTTGGACATATGTTGTGTATGTTTTTAAAGCCAGATACTGAGAGATGTCTTCACATATTGCTCATAGTGCACAAGAGTCTTGGAGAGACAATGTCATTCTTGTGGTGCCACTACTGGCACACAGCAGGGGTGATGTTTTGAAATGCAGAGTGTATCGGACTCTGCAGCCTTTAGCTCTATCACATTACCACCCTCTGTTCTCCAGGGGGGAATGTTCAGTAATATATTTCATAATGGACTGTAGCCTCCTGTCTGCTCTTCACTGGAGAAATACTGTAACTCGAGCTATTTACAACTCTGATAATAACGCTGCATGAGTGTGCATGCATTTTTTTTCTGTGTCGCAGTGTGTTTGTGTATATGTGTGTACTGCATGGCTATTAATTTTCTGTGTATCTGAGTGAGAAATAAGCAGTTGTGAGCCAGGAAGGTGGGGTCGCTACTCATGAACACACTGGCATACATTTGGAGTAAGACAAGGACTCAGAATCACAAGTGACGGTTACTTTGATTTCTTGCCAAGTTTCATTGCTGCATCTCTGCTGGTAGACACAAGTGTGCAAAAAGAGATTTCTTTTTTCCACAACACCATCCACATGTAATGTGTTTAATTTGTTTGTCAGAATGCTCAAACACATGAAGTTATTAAATAATAAATGTTGGATATATATATGTAGAGTTTTATATATTTAGTTTTAATCAAATGTTATCCATATGCTAAAATCTTCAGCTTGTTTTTTACTGTTTTCAGTCAGGAAAGCAGTGAGATAACATCAGAATCGCTCTATTTGTTGGAGTAAATATAGAAAGCAAACAACACAAGATGTTCCCATATTTTAAAACCAAATGGACCAAGTGAAAGTGGAAAGCTCTACAATGTACGAGCAATTACTTTACATATATGTGTTTGTAACATTGTTATATTTTATTATTTCACTCTTGATAAACAGACACCAAAGCCAAAAGAGAAGCTGTTTTTAAAACTGTAGTCACTTTAACCTTGGCTTGGGGAATTTAACCAGTGAACTGACCTAACATTAAAAGCTACAGTATGTAACATTTTTTTAGCTTTACACATCAGAATTGTCACTGTGGTTAAGTTTAATTTAGCTCAGAGTTTAGAGTGTTGATAAAAACTGTGCTTGAGGCATATATGTATGTATGTAGCGACGCGTGTGTGTGTGTGTGTGTGTGTCCAGTCTGCTACGACCCACCACGCTCCGCTCAGCTCTTCAGATATTTCAGTATGATATGACTGGTTAGAGAGGTCAGTCCCTCAAAACCTTTAGAACTGGACTGCTGCCAGTGCTGTGTGGGTCACAGGATGCTCCAACAGCAGCTCTCCACATTAAGATAAG